AAGGGAGGCTGTAAGACACAGACACATTGGAAAAGGAACAGGAAGCAGAAAACATGACAGGAAAAGAAGTTCTGAACGTTGTGCACCCTCATTTCAGAGCCTCTTCTCTCTTCCTGCTCTCCTCTCTCTCTCCCCCTCAGGCTGGCTGATTTAGTGTCCTTCCAGCAGAACATCACCTCCCGCTACGAGCTGACACCCCGCAACACCTGGATCTGTTTTGGGGGCTCCTACCCCGGGTCCCTGTCAGCCTGGCTCCGTGGCAAGGTACCCCGCAACGCCCGCTCTCCTGTGGCCAGGCGGGAGGCTGGAGTGATTGTCCTGCAGAGGCCCGAGCCCAGCTGTCTCCAGGCCAGCGCCAGGCCCATGTGAGCCGCCCGCGCTCGCCTGTGGTGTCACCTGCTTGCCGCTCACCGCTGGCCTGTTTGGGTTTCAGTTCCCACACCTGGTCTACGGCGCAGTGGCTTCGTCTGCCCCCGTCAGAGCTCAGCTGGACTTCACTGGCTACAACAAGGTACCAGCAGGGGGCAGCACACCCTGCACTGCTGCCACCTCACGCCTTTACCCAAAGGGTTGTGGGACTTGGGGACACGTCACCCAGCCATGTCATTACAGTTACAGGGCAGTCAGACTCCTTTACTGCAGGTGCTTTTCTCATCTGGGGTCAGAATCAGGCATGTCACACTTGATTGTTAGAATAATTGCTTACACTTATATAGGCTTTTCTGGACACTCCACTCAGAGCACTTTACAAGTAATGGGGATCCCCTCCAGCCCTACCACTGTGTACCCCCACCTGGATGATGTGACAGCAGCCATAGAGCACCAGTCCTCTCCCCACACACCAGCTCTCAGTGGGGAGAGGAAGAGAGTGATGGAGCCAGTTCAGAGAGGGGGATTATTAGGAGGCCATGATTGGTAAGGTCCAGTGGGAAATTTGGCCAGGACACCGGGGTCACACCCCTACTCTTTTCATGAGACGCCCTGGAATTTTTAATGACCACACAGAGTCAGGACCTCGGTTTTACATGTCATATTAAAGACAGCGCCTTTTTACAGTACAGTTTCCCCATCACTATAGTGGGGCATTAGGACCCTCACAGACTACACCAACACCTCTTCCAGCAGCAAGCTTAGCTATTCCCATGAGCCTCCCCTCCAGGTACTGGCCGGGCTCACACTGCGGAGCTCCAGGGGGCTGCTAGTTGTGAGCTGCAGGGCGATATGGCGATATCAACCCCCCCCCTCTCTCTTCCAGGTCGTGGCGAAGAGTCTTGCCAACCCCGCAGTGGGGGGCTCGGACAGGGTGAGTACAGCCCAGCCGCCCGCCGGCCCGGTTCTCCGTCCCCGACCACGCGCGCGCGGCGCCACCTGCTGGCGGCCGGCCTCACGCCCGCCCGCCTGCCTCCCTGCAGTGCCTGTCTGCGGTGAGGGAGGGCTTTTCGGCCGTGGAGTCTGCCCTGGCCAGCCGGAACGTCACGGCCGTGTCCCGGGACTTCAGCTGCTGCTCCGCCGTGTCCGAGCCGGAGGACCAGCGGGAGCTGCTGTACAGCCTGGCGGACATCGCCATGGGCGCCGTGCAGTATGACCAGGAGGGGGCGCCGCTGGGCGTCGCCCAGCTCTGCCGGATCATGGCAGGGAACTCCAGCGGGGCGGACAGCTACACCCGCCTCGCCCAGCTGGCCAAGGTACCCCCGCGGCCGCCGCCCACTCCGCGCCCTCCCCCGCGGCAGGCTCGTGGGCCGCTCACCCCTGTCCGTCCCTCAGGCCTACCTGGAGCGAACGGCCAAGCCCTGCCTGGAGACGTCCCACCAGCAGAGCGTGGCCGAGCTGCGGGACACCACCCTGAGGCCCAGCGGAGTCGGGGAGAGGCAGTGGTACTACCAGACCTGCACCGAGTTCGGATACTGTGAGGATCTCGCCGCACGGCAGCCGCCACAGAGGTCGCACTGCCCCCCAGTTAGTTTCCTTTCTCTTGGGCGACATTAGCTCGCGTCGCCAATGACAGAGATGTCCTCAAGCCAGCACCAAGGCTTCTGGGCACAGACGCAGGACAGCCCGACTGTCACACGGGGCTAGACTGACCCATTGACTGGCCACGCACATTTCCCCCTCCTCCTTCAGAAACACCCCCCCAGCGCCCCCTGCTGGACACAGTGGCACTGAGTAGCCTCTCGGCCCGTGAGAGAACTGCTTCAGGGACTCGCATTGCCACAGCTGCCTGCACTGCCGCACCACGGCACAGCGCGTTGGCGACTATCCGAGGAGCGTCCCGTCGCTCTGCAGGACGCTGGTCTGCCCGGCCCTGAGAGGAAACCCCCCAGGGCAGGGCATGCCCACCACCGCCGACACAACCCACTGGCCCGTACCTGACGGCCCACAGTCACACACCAGCCACTGGGGAGGTGTGTCCACTGGACTGCACACACCTCTGGCTCAGGAGTGGATAGAGCGGCCATCTGTCGCCCCAGGGGAGTCTAACGCCCGCGGTGTGTGTGTGTGTGTGTGTGTGTGTGTGTGTGTGTCTGCAGATCAGACCTGTGAGGATGACGGGTGCCCCTTCTCCCGGCTCCTGACCCTGAAGTCCCAGACGGAGCTCTGCCCCCTGGTGTTCGGCCTGAAGGAGAGCAGCCTGCCGCTGGCGGTGGGCTTCACCAACGATTACTACGGCTCCGACCACCCTGGCACTCACAGGGTGCTGTACGTCAACGGTGAGAGCGAGGACATTTTATGTGGAAATCTCGGCCTTTCTCTCATACAGCCGTTCCAGCTTTTCAGTCGGTGGCGGTATTGTCGCTTGAAGAAGCGGGAAGCCCTGGATGGGAGACTGCTCGGAAAGCTGAGGTTGCTGCTGGAAGAGGTGTTAGTGGGGCCAGCAGGGGGCGCTCACCCTGCGGTCTGCGTGGGTCCTAATGCCCCAGTATAGTGACGAGGACACTTTACTGTAAAAAGGCGCTATCTTTAATATGAGACGTAAAACCGAGGTCTTGACTCTCACTCTCTCTGACTGTGGTCATTAAAAATCCCAGGGTGTTTCTCAAAAAGAGTAGGAGTGTTACCCCGGTGTCCTGGCCAAATTTCCCCCAGGCCTTTACCAATCATTGCCTCCTAATAATCCCCATCTCTGAACTGGCTCCATCACTCTGCTCTCCTCCCACTGAGAGCTGGTGTGGGGGGAGAGTACTGGTGCTCTATGGCTGCTGTCTCATCATCCAGGTGGGGCTGCACACTGGTGGTGGTGGAGGGGATCCCCATTAGCTATAAAGCGCTTTGAGTGGAGTGTCCAGAAAACTGGCATATAAGTGTAAGGCACTATTATTGTCATTCTGAAATGTTAGGTTCCTTCCTTCCTTCTGCCCAAAGCCAGTGCCAGGCACAATACAGATGCCAGTCTCCTCAGTTAGCGTCAGACAGTACCGCATGTCTGGGGTCTTACCTAAGGCACAGCTCAGGGGTCCTTTTCCAGGCGCACAACTACTCTGCCGTTTGCTCTTTCCCCTCTCAGGTGACATCGACCCCTGGCACGTGCTCAGCGTCCTCTCCAACGCCACCAGCGGGGAGAGAGCCATCCTGATCCACGGGACCGCGCACTGCGCCGACATGAACCCCCCCCGCCCCTCCGACCCCCCCGCGCTGATGCTCGCTCGCAAGGTGAGAGGTGCTGGGGGGGGGGGTCAGGGAAGAGTGGGGAGAATCCAGCAGTAGCCTGGGCCGAACCCAGGCAGGTGCTGGAAGTGCTGTGTGTAGACCAGCAGGGGGCGCTCTGCTCAATCCGTACCCCTGTTTCCGCAGGAGATCGAGGCCCATGTGGCCGCTTGGCTCCAGTCAGCCGCGCAGGAGGCCGCCTGACGTCAGGGGACCTGTGGCGCCGGAGAGGGAGGGGCACTTTCACGCTAGAAGCTTGCAATCAAGAGCACCCTGCCGCCCTGCGATGTGATTTCTTTCTCACAAAACCTTCTGGCCTCTCGGCCCACAACGACACGAGGGCCCGCTCCGAGCCACGCCGTCTACAAGCGGACCGGGCGGGAGTCGGCGCCGGCAAGACAGCCGCGCTGTGCAAGGCCTGGGCATGAGGCTAGACGACCACATACTGTATTTACTCAATCGTCACCCGCTTCCTGTGCGATAACACTCTTCTGTCAGCGCCTCGCATTCTCTCGACGCTCTGGGGAGGTCAGGGGTCACGGGGAGCCCCCCGCAGAAGTACCCCAGTGTGAAACAGCACAGGGGAGGGCGCTCCCCCTGCCCTGGGTGGGACAGGAACTCCCCATGCTTCTTTTATACTCCAGATCAAGCCCAATAAAGATTTTTATGCTACGCGCCTGTGTCTGGTACTGTCCAGGGGGGGCTGATGTCCATCGTCCCCCAGCCGTGTCCCGAGGGCAGACTGTCCAGTTCGGACCGACCCGTCAGCCTCCCCAGTCTTGTCCTGACCTCCACACACACTCCTACACCTCTGCCCAGCCCTGCTCTCACAGCCAGAAGGACCTGGGTGTTCCTCATGGGCACATTCCTGGCTTTACTGATCTGTTACTCTGTCAGGAACAGGGGATTTGAGAGACCTACTGTATAAGAAGTAAGTGGACTGGGGTGCTCCTGGACCAGGAATGGTGACCCCTGAGTTAGGATTTAGCTGTGGGTTTGTCAAGAAATCTTGGGGTACACCATAACCCTCCCTAGTACCTCTCCAAAGGTGCACTTAGCAGTTTCTGTCTCCCACTTTTTAATCACACGAGCCACAGACATGTCTGCTGTCTTCATCCCACAGCAACTGAGCGGTGGCTCTGTGGCTGAGGATCTGTGCCTGTGGCTGGAAGGTTGCCAGTTCAAATCCCGTAGCCGGCAGAGGAATCCTATTCCGTTGGACCCCCGAGCAAGGCCCTTAACCCCAACTGCTCCAGGGGTGCTGTACAATGGCAGACCCTGCACTCTGATCCCCAGCTTCTCTCCCTGTCTGTGTGTCTCCTGGAGAGCAAGCTGGGGTCCGTGAAAAGACAAATCCCTAATGCAAGAAATTGTATATGGCTAATTAAGTGATCTTATCTTACAACCTTTTCAGCACAATAAACATCGTGCTGGGCTTCAGTCCCACCGCTGGCCACATGGGGGCAGCTGTGGTCCATTAACAACCAGCCAGGGACAACAGGAGCCTTGGGCAGAGAGCAGAGACGGAAACTTCATTACCTTCCTGGCTAATCCCATCTGCCAATGCCCCTGACAGCATGTCAAATCCAGGCACACAGGAGGAATACACATAAGCAGAGGGAGAACTTCCAGGCTCTATCAGAATACTGCTCAGCCATCAGTGGCACGGATCCTGAAAAGAGCCACATTCTGAAAACATGTGGCTTGTTCCCCACCCCAGCACTCTTTGTGTAAAGAAGTGTGCCCTATACTCACGCTGAAACGAGCTGCTTCTTTCCCCTCTGACCCCTTAAGGTGGGGCTGCACATTGTTGGTGGTGGAGAGGAGACCCCCATTACCTGTAAAGCGGTTTGAGTGGAGTGTCCAGAAAAGTGCTATATAAGTGTAAGCAATTATTATTATTATTATTATTATTATTAAAGAAGACTGGGATTCACAACAGGAGATTCACGCACAGTCCTGTGTGTGAGTAGGCACACAACATTAATAGCAGCTAGGCAGGATCAATCATCAATGTACTGTCCATATGCACAATTCCATGAAGACTTGACAGTCTGTCCCCACGTAAACTCTTCTTCCAAAACGTCAATCACTTCCCTATTATACTATTAAACTACAAGTGCCAAAGGAATCCATTGTCACTCTGTTATACTGGAGACTGAACTCGTTGGTTCAGCCCTGGAGTCAGTGGGCCTCACCCACAGTGTGCTGTCTCTCTCAGTCTTTCGGTGGGGGTGGGGGGGAGGGGTGATTGAGGATCGGGGGAGGGTTCAGAGCTGGGAGGTCGTGACCCCAGTGACTGGAGGGGGTGCCCCGCTCATCAATCACACAGTGGCATTGCTGGGCAGCAGAGGGCTCCTCCCCCTCGGGGAAACAGATGGTCCTGGGGCAGGACTGCATGCACACACACACACTCTCACATCTTCTCTTCCTGCCCTGATGACCCCCCCCATGCCTATTTGTCACCGACGGGGCCCGATACTTGACATTTACTGCTCTCTACTCCACTGCAATGAAGCTCCACAAAGGCTGAGTCAGACGCACAACCAGTAGAGCTGGCACTGTGACAGTCCACTGACAATGGCTTTGGAAGAACGTTAAAAAACTCCACCTGTCTGAGTTTCCTGGGTGAGCCTCAGGAACTCCTATCCCAGTGAGGTCATCTGGCTTTCAGATACAGAAGGGTACTCACACTCCCATCTCCTCTCTGCGCTGCGTCCTGCTGTCTTAGTATTTGTTCTCTGCCCATGTCTTTCCTTCCATCCCTCACCTGCCCTCCTTCTCTCCTCTCAAATTTGGCAGTGTATACCCTCTCTCCTCTCCCTCTATAGAGTTACCCTCTCCTCTCAAAGTCAAATTCAACCAGCCTTAGTTGCAAATTACATTGCTGCTAAAGCATATACAATCAGTATAACACCTACATACATGTATAATCCAAATACATCATAGAACATTTACATACAACACATAGAGCATTATTGACAGACAGGCTCACTGTTCCTCAGGCTGTGACAGGAGATCACATACTGGGCTGCCAGTTCAACTGAGTTCCCTCCTCCCTCTCCCAGTAGGATTGGGACCCGTTATGATTCTGGCAGGTGTGGAAACGCTGGGATTAGATTTGTAAATTTAGGGTAGAATGTTTCTCTAATCCCAGAGTATCTGTCACAGTGCAGTAGGAAGTGCACCTCAGTCTCTATTTCTCCCCGCTGGCAGTGGGAGCACAGCCTGTCCTCTCTGGGCAGCCAGGTCTGCCTGTGTCACCCAGTTTCTATGACCAGGCTGTGGTCACTGAGCCTGTACTTCGTCAAAGTCTGTTTCACCTTGCTGTTTGATCAGATATTCAGATAGCGTGTATTGTCTGTTAGGGATCTGTAGCATTCCAGTTATGTGTTGTGTTGTGTTTGTGTGTGCGTCCCAGTGGTAGTGTATTTTGATTTGTGTTTTTGGTGCTGTGCTGTCCTGAAGCTGATTGGTGTCAGTGAGCCTCAGGACATTCTGGCTGAGGGGGCTCTTCTCAAGGCTCAATAGGGCTTTGTGGTGGTACAAATTCTATTCACTGTTTCTCAGGTATACCCAGCATTTTATTACTCTCTTTTGTATGCTGATAAGTTCCTCTGTGCACGCATCGTTAGGTGTTTCTCTCTTCACATGGAGAATGTTTTTACAGAACGCCGAGTGCAGAGTTTCTGTAGGGTGTTTGTTCCATTTAATGTAATCCTGTTCTGAGTGTGGACCCACACTTCACTGCCATATAGAGCAATGGGTTGGATTACACTTTCAAATATTTATAGCCAAATATTTAGATTTATGGGGGGATGATATTGTAGAGCCTCCTTCTAATGGCATAGAAAGCTCTGTGTGTCTTCTCCTCCAGTGACTTTACTGCCAGGTCAAAACTGATTGTCAGTCCAAGGTGTAGTTGGCTGTGTGTCCCAATGTGTTGTTGTTGAGTGTGAATTTGTACCTGTTCCCCTGCGGTCTGGCTCTCTTCTGGAAAACCATGACTCTGGTCTTGTCCAGATTGACTGTCAGCACCCAGGACTGACAGGACTGCTCCAGCAGGGCCAGGTTCTGCTGCAGCCCCTGTTCTGGGTCCAGATGGGCTGGCAGTACCCCAGTCTAACAGTATGGCTCCAGTACTGTCCTGTGGGCAACAGCAGCATCAGGTCATCAGCGCAGAGCAGGAACTTTGTGGTGCGAGACCAGGCGGTGCAGAGTGTTCCAACATCTTTCCCCTCTCCCTCTCGCTGAAGGATAAGTCGCCTGTCTCCCCGTCTGTTTGGCGTATTGCAGTGATCAACGAGCCACTGGCTGGGAGCTCAGCCATCAATCTTCCGCCCGCGCCATCGGAGATCCGTGTCCCGCAGTGCCACTGACGGCAGGCCCGAGACAAACGGGCCAAGGGCAGGGGGCAGCACAGGCGCACCTCAGCTCCACGATGGCCACCCGGCCAACGCTCCTTTCTCGGCCACGGTCAGAGAGGCGGCGGGTCCTGCTCTCGGGAGAGGCAGCTCACCTGGGCTGTGAGCTCAAAGCACCTGTGATACTCCCACTGGCACACCTAGACTGGATCACACCGCGAGTCTGGAAACACTGGCACACCTAGACTGGATCGCACTGCGAGTCTGGAAACACTGGCACACCTAGACTGGATCACACTGCTGTGCACTGGGAGTCTGACTGGGAACACTGGCACACCTAGACTGGATCACACTGCTGCACACTGGGAGTCTGATTGGGAACACTGGCACACCTAGACTGGATCACACTGCGAGTCTGGAAACACTGGCACACCTAGACTGGATTGCACTGCTGTGCACTGGGAGTCTGGAAACACTGGCACACCTAGACTGGATCACACTGCTGTGCACTGGGAGTTTGACTGGGAACACTGGCACACCAAGACTGGATCACACAGCTGTGCACTGGGAGTCTGGAAACACTGGCACACCTAGACTGGATCTCAATGCTGTGCACTGGGAGTCTGGAAATACTGGTACACCAAGACTGGATCACACAGCTGTGCACTGGGAGTCTGACACTGTGACTAAATCACATTGAGAAACCAAGGTGACCAGTAAAACCTGGAGGAAACAGGTGCTGTGCAATGGCACTGCGATACAGCGTTTACAGTGCTTCCAGCCACTTGTGAATCCTGCCTGTGTCCCGAAGCCCCTCACAAAGGAGAGAACCATAGAAAAAACTAGCACCAGGATGAGAGGAGAGGGAAAATTCATTGGCATTAAATCACATTTATTTACCTTATCCCTCCACCCTCCCCTCCCCTCTCTGGAAGGAAGACAAGCAGATTAAGGAGATGATGGATTCTCCTTCTCTCCCGCTCCCCCTCAATCCATCACTTCGATGGCAGTAATCGTTCCGAGGTCCAAGGATAAACAGAGTGCCCATCCATCTCGCTAATAACAACAGTCAGAGGAAGTAATGGCAACCCCCCCGCCCAGTCTCATCTCAACTCTCAGGAGGATGGGAGAGAGAGGAGGAGTAAGAGTGTAAGAGTGAAAGAGGAGATGAAGAGGAAGAGAGAGAAGAGGGAGAGAGGGAGGGAGAAGAGGGATAGGAGTGGAGGGACTTGATCTGCATGATTTCAGGAATGCAAACTTAAATATTTAAGAAACTCGTAGAGGTGCAAACCAGCACATTCATGTCAAAAACATACGAGGGACACATCTGACTGCTTCTGTCGTCTGTCTCAAATTTCAAACACGGGGATCAGCGTTCAGTGATCCCCCGGGTGAGCTCTCAGCCATATGCAGTGTCCAGGGTAGGACACACCGGTCAGACACAACCACTGGCACCCCCTGCTACTGGTTCTCTTCGGTAGACATTTCTTTGCACAACTGGCCTTTCCTTCCACACTTGTATTTTTAGACATACACCCCTGGTAAACTTAAAGAGGAGATTTAAAGGCTGGGATAATAATGTGATGATATTTACGGTTCAGACCGGAGAACCTGGTGTCAAGTCCTGCCACAAGCACATCACAGGTACATCACAGACTGTCACTGAACAGACAACTACCACTATATCGACTGTCACTGCACAATGTCACTGTACAGACACTGTCACTACAGACTGCCACTGTGTACTGTCACTGTACAGACACTGTCACAACTCAGACTGTCACTCCACAGCACATAACATTGCTTCTTGGTTTAGTACCTTTTTGTTTAACTTTCGGGTCCAGTTACAGCGTCTTTTTCCAACAAAGGCAAGATCGTGGTCCAGTAAAATAAATAATAATAATAATAAAATATTATTATTATTATTATTATTTTATTATTAATAATAATAACAGGACAATGCTAAGATTATGATAGTATTCAGATACTGGAGTAGGAAAGCGAGATTGATGTTAATAATTATTCTCTTTCAGTATGCAGGAGAAAGGGAGGGCAGGATATTAATCATCATCATTATTATTTAGCCAGTCCGCGGCCGGACAGCTGTCCCGCGGAGGTGACGACAGAGGGACGATGTCGCCCCGGGCCGCGCCGCCGTGTGGCAGTGTCAGTGTCAGGGGAGAGAGCGGTCCGCACGCGCTGCGAGAGACGGGGACGCCGTGTGTGTGTGTGTGTGCGCGCGCTGAAGAGACCCCCCCCCGCAGGTCTTCAAAGCTCATCGCTCATTTCGCAGTGACAGATTCCATCCCCGTCGCCTGCTCGTGTTGATGGACAGCGGGAGCGGCCAAAAGGCACGCCGACATCACTCCGCTCCAGCGAGGGGAGGAAGAGTCCCGGTCAGCCCCGGACCAGCGCCCGGCCCCGCCCGACACCGAGCACCGCCCGAACCGGACCGAGCCGCAGCTCGGGCCGAGGGGGAGAAGGGGGCATTTCCCCGCCGATCATCCGACTGTTCTTCCGCGCATACAGGATGAACACAGCCGGGCGACAACGGCGGCAATAAGCAGAATTCTTCTTCTTCTGGTTATTATTATTAATCTCGGATGGGAATGGTTCCGGCTATGGTCACCGCCGGACGCGCTGGTCAGGGGGAAACGCGGCTGCTCTGGAGGCGCTATTAGATTCCTCTCGTTGACAGGACTGTCTCGCCCGCCCGTGAGCGGACCGGACCCCGCTGTACCGAGCTGTGGGGGCCACCGTTTTCCACATTTCCGCCCAGGATCACTGCGAGCGGCATCGGGACCGCCGTCTCGGCTCGCCTGTCTGGACACAGGCACCCGGAGCCCGGAGCCCGGAGCGCTGGACTGCGGCTCCGCCGTGCCGTCCGTCCGCCGGGCAGCCGGCTGCACTCGCGTTGATGGAGAGCAGGGTAGGTCCCCCGTCTCTCGGCGCCGCGGCCACGGTGAATCCGTCTTCTGTCCTTTCCTCTCAGCCTGCACGTTAACGCGCGATGCTAGTGGAGGTTCCCGGCTCAGCCTTGAATTTTTCTGTTTTTTTGGGGGGGTTGGGAGGTCTGGCCGGTTCTGACTCTTTCGCTTTCCCCTCGTCTCTCTGACCGACTCGGACCTCTCGCCGCGGCCGAGCCCAGCAGGAGAGCGCCGAGCGCCGGCGTGCGGGAGGACCAGTCCCCGAGTCCGGCCGCGGTACCGGTCTGGCAGAACCCGGGTCCCGACCCGGACACAGGGCTGGCCCGCTTAAAGCCGCCCGCTGACAAGTTAGCCAGCACGTACCTGTATATAGGTCACGGATTAATTCTGATAAACATTATCAGAATAACAAGGAGACGCGAACTTGCAGTGCCGAGAGCGGTAGAACACATTGTGAGCAATATCGCGCTGCTTCTTGAAATTAAAATGAATCACCGTCATTTATCTACGACTAATAAGATGGCTGGTACTGCCCTAGATGTCGAGGTCAAGTTCTGGGGGGGTGATTCTTGGCCACCCCAAGGGGACTTGGCCGAATTTAGGGTCCCCGTCACTGACACGCGCAGGGAAATTCCACGGAGAGCGTGGGGGAAACGCGGGGAGGGGAGGGAGCGAGAGACGGACTCGGTATGTAGGTCAACTTTTTTGCTACAGTGAATCCGAGGCGCTCGGCTTGTCGCCCGTCTGCGGGCTGGCGCTGTAAACAGATACTCTAATTAACGCTCTAATTGCGCTCCGCGCGGGCACAGCTGATCCAGACACCCAGGGCAGCCGCCGAGCTGGGAGCCTGCTGCCCCCCGGTCGCGTCGCCGCTCCCCGCTCGGGCAGCCAGCTGGAGAGTTAGGGGGTCACCGTTCCTACCGGGGTTCGTCTACCGCCGTTGCTGGTACCGCTCAGGCTAGGACAGAGAGGCAAACTGGGGGAAAGTCGGGCTCCTGCGCCGTCGAGTCCCGCGCTTGTCCACACTGCCGGAGAGTCCGCCCCTGGGAGCCCGGGTCTCTGCGCGCTCCGGTCCGGTCGGACAGCCGCTCCTGTCAGAAACTCGTTAACTCAGCCCAGCGTGCGCCCGCACACACTCGCTGTGCCGTCTTATCGATCGATCGATCAGAACACGGATTTGTGTTTTTCCCCTGATTGAACATCAGCCGATGGCAATACAGCTTAAATGAGCGCTGCTGCTGGCATTAATTGATTGATTGGTTGTAGCGGACTGCTAATTGCGCGAAAGCTTCTGGAGAGCCCCCGGGCGATGAAGAAAAAGAGTGGCTTGGGCTTGTGTGTGTGTGATGACCCGGGGGCTCCGGAGACAGCGGCCTGCGTCCACAAGGCGTTTGGCACCCGTTCCTGTCGGCCATCAGCGCCGCACCCACCCACTCGCGAAGCGGTAGGGAGAACCGCTGCGCGCGCACGTCACCCCCGCGTGGCCGCTCCACAGCCGGTGGCAGAGCCCTAACTTTCCCGTGCGCGTCATCCCCAACACCAGCTGCAATGCAACTAGCGCTGGCAGTTAGTCAACAACTTCTCACACTGCGCCTGCGAGACCGGTCCCCACGGGGCGCTTTACGGCACACTGCAGAAAAACAGCGGAAAACGGAGCCGAAGCAGCCGCGATAGAGTTCACACCAGCCGGGTGTGTCCGTGTAGCGCCTGTCCATCCTCCCCCCTCCTGTGGGGGAGAGCGATCAAGTGTTCCTGTCTGGGACCCGTGTACCACACGGCCGACTCCAGCACCAGCTCTGGAATAAAACGGGATCGATCTGTTGCGAGACCAGTTCTGTCATTATAGACTCTCCCTCTCTGTATACAGTATACTTCATAATCTCTGTCCTGAGATCTGATCTGCTGGTATAGACTCTCTTGCCATGTGTGAGGGCTGTCAGTGTGTAGTGTGAGGGCTGTCAGTCTTTCAGTGTTCAGCATGAGTGCTGTTAGTGTGTGTGGGTGTGTAATGTGAGTGGTGTCAGTGTGCAGTGTGTGTGTGCTGTCAGTCTGTGTCAGGGTGCAGCGTACATCAGTGTGTAGTGTAGTGTTGAACACTGTGAGTCTGTGTCAGGGTGCAGTGTACATCAGTGTGTAGTGTAGTGTTGAACACTGTGAGTCTGTGTCAGGGTGCAGTGTACATCAGTGTGTAGTGTAGTGTTGAGTACTGTGAGTCTGTGTCAGGGTGTGCAGGATATGTTTGTGCTTGCAGGCTGCTGTGATGTCTTGTACAATATCAGTGAGCTGGTGAAAGGAGGGGGGTTGAAATGCACATCAAAGAGAGCTGGAGTTGAAACAAATTAATGAGGAGGAGAGACACTAACTACTAACGGTCCTCCCACACATGGCTCTGTCAGAAGTGCCTCTCCTTCTCTCTTTAATGTCTTCCCCCACATCTCACAGTCTCTCTCTCCCACTTTCCTTGTTTTGTCTTCCCAGCTTCTTGCAGTTTCATTTAGCAGTGTTCAGTCAGGGTGTGGACTGACCCCAGTGTGTCCGTCTCTCAGTGCAGTGTCGGGGTGTGGACTGACCCCAGTGTGTCCGTCTCTCTCGGTGTGGTGTCGGGGTGTGGACTGACCCCAGTGTGTCTGTCTCTCTCGGTGAGGTGTCGGGGTGTGGACTGACCCCAGTGTGTCTGTCTCTCTCAGTGCAGTGTC